AATAGGTATTTGATCCACTTTTCTTTTCCTTTCCTCTGAAGCTCAGGGTTCCTGGCTTATCATCTGTTTCTGTTTCTCTTGTCTTCGTTGTAGAGAATCTGTGTAGACTTTGTGCCTACTCCGCCATCATATCACATATATTTTCTGTTTCTTCTTTTTAATAGTCTATGCCATTTGACTAATCCCTCAGAAGCAGACTGCCTATTCTTTCTTCCTAGTCTGTTTGTAGTCTAGAAGCTCCTGAAACCTGTCCATCTTGTATTTGAACCACCAGTGGCATAGCCATATCATTAATATCACAAGTGAAATTTTGATGAAATAATTCAAAGACAGTTGCTGTAGTGCATCTATGGGGAACGGCCAGAAATTCAAGCCTGATTCAGAAGAGGATGTGAAACAAGGGATTTTCATTGTTAACGTCAGATGGATCTTGACTGAAAGGAGAGAATACCAGAGAGATGTTTACATGTGCTTTATTGACTATACAAAGGCATTTGACTATGTGGATAATAACAAACTATGGACAACATTGCGAAGGATGGGAATTCCAGAACACCAAATAGTGCTCATGCAGAACCTTTACATAGATCAAAAAGCAGTTGTTTGAACAGAACAAGAGCATACTACGTGGTTTAAAGTCAGCAAAGTTAAGCATCAGGGTCGTATACTTTCACTGTATTTATTCAGTATGTATGCTGAGCAAATAATCTGAAAAACTGGACTACATGAAGAAGACCTTTGAAATGCAGATGATACACCCTTGCTTGCTGAAAGCAAAGAAGACTTGAAATACTGATGAAGATCAAAGAGGACAGCCTTCAATATAGATTATAATTCAATGTAAAGAAAACAAAATTCCTCACAACTTGACCACTAAGTAACATTGTGATAAACAGGGAAAAGATTGAAGTTGTCAAAGACTTGATTTTGCTGGGACCTGCCATCAACACTCATGGAAGCAGTAGTCAAAAAATCAAGTGACATACTGCATTGGGCAAATCTGCTGCAAAAGACCTTTTTAAAGTGTTAAAGAGTAAAGATGTCACTTTGAGGATTCAGGTGTACCTGCACACAAGCCATGGTATTTTCATTCACTTCATAAGTATGTCAAAGTTGGGCAATGAATAAGGAAGACCAGAGTAGAATTGATGCATTTAAATTGTGGCATTGATAAAGAATACTGAAAGTACCATGGTTGGTGAGAAGAACAGAGAAATCTGTCTTGGAAGAAGTACAGCCAGAATTTTCCTTAGAAGCAACGAGGATGATTCTTCGTCTCATGTACTTTGGAGGGACTAGTCCCTGGGAAGGACTAAGGAACTGAAAGGAAGAGGAGCAAATCTCAAGTATGAGATAGTCTTCCTTTTTTTTTGAGTTTCTCTTTTGTTCCTTCTCTTCCTTAGAAGCAAAAATGGTGAGACTTCATCTCATGTACTTTGGACATATTATCAGGAGGGACTGCTTCCTGGAAAACAAAATCATGCTTGGTAAAATGGAGGGTAAGTGAAAAAGAGGAAGACCCCCAATGAGATGGATTGGTGCAGTGGCAGCAACAATGTCAGACATAACAACAATTGTGAGGATGGCACAGGACCAGGCAGTGTTTCATTCTGTTGTATATAACATTGCTACAAGTCAGAGCTGAGTCTGTGGTACCTAACAACAACAATGCTGTCCAGTATAGTAGCCACTAGCTATGCAGACTATGTAGACTCACTAACTATAGAGAAGGGTTCTAGAAGTCTTCACAAACCAGTTTTAAATGAATGTGTTAGGGAAGCACGAAACTATACATTGCAACTGTGACTTTGGGAAAGTGAATTTTCAAATCGTCTTGATAAAATATAATAAAAAAGACCAAATTAAGTGATTGGATTAGCTCAAATCACAATTATGAACTCCTGCTCCCAGATGGAGCTGCCTTTTGAGATCAGAAATGATACTGGCTGCCTGAGCAAGGATGGTCACTAAGGACAAACTCCAGTCATGGCTGTAAATTTCCTACCCTCAGCTTACTTGAGCATGGGCACATTTGTCATGGTTAACATGCTACTCCATTATTATTTCTCATGCCATTAGTGAAAAGGACTAGGGAACTGCAAGGAAGAGGAGCAAATCCCAAGTGTAAGATATTTTCCTCTTCGTGAGTTTAGTTTTATCCTTTCCCGTGCCTACACATAACACTTTGCCTGCTTTCTATTCAGTTTTGTTGTTGTTGTTAAGTGCCGTCCAGTCAGTTCCTACTCATAGCAACCTTGTGTAGGGTTTCTGAGGAAGAACTGGTGGGTTTGAATGGCTGAACTTGTGGTTCTCAATCCAGTGCTGATCCTACAGTGCTACACCAACAGTCTTTTTGTTGTTGTTAAGTGCTGTAGAGTCGGCTCCGACTCATTGCGACCCCTGTATAGGGTTTCCGAGGAGTGGCTGGTAAGTTTGAACCGTGGACCTTGTGGTTCAAACCAACCTTGCAGTCCAGCGCATTCACCTGCAGTGCCATACCAGGTCCTGGAGTCTTAGGCTGATGTAAAATGAAAACCAACTGCTTTGCAGCTTTTTCAGGCTGGCTGTACTTGTGCTGCTGGGCTCTGTGTGCGTTCAGCAGCATGGTCACTGGTGGACAGTTCTGTACCCTCTCTTTGGGGTCCTTTCTCTCCAGAGCTGGCTGAGGACCTCACCTAGTCCACAGCATCTCCTTCTGTGTCACTGATGGATGTTTGAGGCTGAAACCCTTACCTGTCAAACAAGGCTATCAAGGACATATAAGTAGGCACTATCTTTAAATGAATTTGGAAGGTCATTTTTAGAAGTAGTTAGCCTATGCAGCTGGTTTAAGCTGTTATCAAGTCTATTCACATATTAATTTCCTTGAAAGCTAAAATGAGCCTTGAATAAATGAGTTCTGACTGTCTTAGCTTTTAAGGAGTAAATTCAGTTTATATGTATTTGTTGCATTTGGTGCTGGACATTCTATTTTGGATTTTAAAAATGATTGTGTAGTAGGGGAACATGTTTCAAATAAAGCTGTGTTCATGCTCACCTTAGTCTCACCAGTTTTACTGTGTTTTTGAAGAAGCGGAAACAAAATTCATGGCAGTTAGCAGCTGACTGAGAAGACCTCTGGCTTGAGTTGACAGCTGCCACCTGAAGACTGCAGACCTGGCTACCCTCTCAGGGTAGATGTCTGTTGTTCTGACAGGGTGCATAAGTGCTGTTTACATGTTCTGTAAGCAAATTTTGCATGTGTTAGAATAGGGCAAGCCAGATGGGCTTGTTCTCAGCCTTACTGATGTGCTCACCAACATTGCTGGCTGCCCCATTGAAAACTCACACATGTAGAAAGAAGTATGCCCGCAGACTTGGTAACTTAGCCTGTCTCTTCTGGACAAATTTTTTCATCACTTCTGGAATTTATCACTAAGATAGGATCTCCTCCCACCCCCAAGTGGACCAATATCACCCAGTACTTTAAAATGGGGGAGGGGGTAGTTAAATTCCAAAGATGTTTAAGATTTCAGACATTTTTCCTATGTGAATTAGTTCTCTATTAGGCTGTTGGTTTAATTGTTGTTTAAGTGCTGCTTTAATAGACTTGACTCTTAGTGACCCTGTGTAGGGTTCCCAGGGGGGGCAGCTGGTGAGTTTGAACTGCTGACCTTATGTTTAGCAGTTCAGTGCTTATCCTACAGTGCCACACTAGGGTTCCCTCTATATAGTAGTTGTTGTCAAGTGCTGTCGAGTTGGTTCCAACTCATAGTGACCCTATCTAGAGTTTCCCAGGAGCAGCTGGTGGGTTTGAACCTCTGCCCTTGCTTTTGGTAGTTCAGTGCTCACTCTACAGTGTCCATGTTTCTCCCTATCTACTTAGTTAGGTCTTGTCTTATTTCACAAAGGGGTGAAAACCACGTGAGGGCAGTGTATACTTTAACATTTTCATTCTGTTAATTTTTAGTTTAAATGAGTTTTTAGGCACATTTTCTGCCCTTTACTGAGAACAGCTGTCCTGTATCACCAGCCCTCCATGCAGCTGGGGTTTCTTCTTCTGAATGGACTGTTCAGCAGGATCTTGTATCATCTCTAGAGCCCTGTGTGCAGCATCAGGCGATGGGGATACAGAGTAGAAATGCAGTGGCCCCAGGTCCCATGAGAACTTTCCTTTAAGTCTCTTTCTGAGTCTTGTACATTCCGGCCACTAAGTGTAATGAAATGGAATTAACTGGAGTCCTGGTGTGGCACTGTGGGTTAATGCCCCAGACTGAAAAGCCGTTTGAACTGCAAGGTTGGTGGTTCAAGCGTACCAGCTGCCCCTTGGAAACCCTACACAGGGTCACTATGGGTTGGAACTGGCTCTATGTCACTTCACAACAACAACAGCAACAACATGGACATACTCTTTGTAAATGTCTGTTACTGTTGCATAGTTGTATGGTTGTGTGTAAATATCCAATTTGTATGAACTGTTTGATTTTGCTATTTGTGTAATCCTCTTGTCAGTTTAACTAAATTGACCCTTCAGTGATGCTGCTGCTCATCTGATTACAGTGCTCAAGGGAATAAGGTTAAGGATCTGCTGTTGGTAACCAGAGCATTTCCAGGGCTTTAGTTCAGCAGATGGGCTGCTTGGCTATATTCATACATCTGCTTGCCTGCTGTGGCAGCTGCTGCTGCTTCATGTTGTGCTCTTTTGTTCTGTTCCATACGAGAATGGAATGCTAGAAAGTGTAGTGAATGGATTAATTTAAGGTTAAAGTTAGTGTTTTGCTTGCTTTCTAAGTAACGGATCATAATAATGCTTCTGGTAGAAGCTAATGAGTTTCTCTTAAATCTGAACTAGATTTATAAAATACTGCTCAGTGAGTGGTCTAGATTAGTATTGTTCGATGGATACTAAAGTCACATATGTAGAATATTGGCTGTTTTATTATTATTTTTTATTATTAAATCACTCATTTCTAATTCTTTATTTTCTTCCTTCCTCTCCCCCACTTTCCACTCCCTTCTAGGACTTCTCTCTAGACTTTGCCTGATACTGCACAGTCCAAGAGAATTAAGAAAATATGGAATGACAAGACGAAGATTAGTTAAGGATTATAAGCTTTGAGGACAGACACCTCAGTGAATTGAAGCACAGAAAATCTCCCTAACTGAAGTTTGGAGGAGCCGTGTGTTGGCAGAAGATGGCCGATCCAGGAATGATGAGTCTTTTTGGTGAGGATGGGAATATCTTCAGTGAGGGCCTCGAAGGCCTTGGAGAGTGTGGTTACCCTGAAAATCCGGTCAACCCCATGGGCCAACAGATGCCAATAGACCAAGGCTTTGCCTCTCTGCAGTCATCCCTTCATCATTCTTCCACAAATCAAAATCAAACCAAGTTGACCCATTTCGATCACTATAATCAATACGAACAGCAAAAGATGCATTTGATGGATCAGCCAAACAGAATGATGAGTAGTGCCCCTGGGAATGGACTTGGGTCTCCTCATTCGCAGTATCACACCCCTCCTGTTCCTCAAGTCCCTCATGGTGGCAGTGGTAGTGGCCAGATGGGTGTCTATCCTGGCTTGCAGAATGAGAGGCATGGGCAATCTTTCGTGGACAGTGGCTCTATGTGGGGACCACGGGCTGTTCAGGTGCCAGATCAGATACGAGCTCCCTACCAGCAGCAGCAACCGGCTCCGTCAGGTCCCCCTGCACACATACAGCAGATAGGGAGCTATATGACACGTGGGGACTTCTCGATGCAGCAGCATAGTCAGCCCCAGCAGAGGGTGAGCCAGTTTCCCCAAGGCCAAGAGAGCCTTAGTCAGGGGAATCCTTTCATTGCCACCTCAGGAACCGGCCACTTGTCCCATGTACCCCAGCAGAGCCCCAGCATGGCCCCTTCTCTGCGCCACTCTGTGCAGCAGTTCCATCACCACCCATCTACTGCTCTCCATGGAGAATCTGTTGCCCTCAGTCCCAGATTCTCCCCTAATCCTCCTCAACAAGGGACTGTTAGGCCACAAACCCTTAACTTTACTTCTCGGAGCCAGACAGTCCCCTCACCTACTATAAACAACTCAGGGCAGTATTCTCGATATCCTTACAGTAACCTAAATCAGGGATTAGTTAACAGTACAGGGATGAATCAAAATTTAGGCCTTACGAATAATACTCCAATGAATCAGTCCGTACCAAGATACCCCAATGCTGTAGGATTCCCATCAAGCAGTGGTCCAGGACTAATGCACCAGCAGCCCATCCACCCCAGTGGCTCACTTAACCAAATGAACACACAGACTATGCATCCTTCGCAGCCTCAGGGAACTTACGCCTCTCCACCTCCCATGTCACCCATGAAAGCAATGAGTAACCCAGCAGGCACGCCTCCTCCACAAGTCAGGCCTGGAAGTGCTGGAATGCCTATGGAAGTTGGGAGTTATCCAAATATACCCCACCCTCAGCCATCTCACCAGCCCCCTGGGGCCATTGGAATTGGACAGAGGAATATGGGCCCCAGAAACCTGCAGCAGCCCCGTTCATTCATGGGCATGTCCCCAGCACCGAGGGAGTTGACTGGGCACATGAGACCAAATGGCTGTCCTGGCGTTGGCCTTGGTGACCCACAAGCAATACAGGAGCGATTGCTCCCGGGCCAGCAGCATCCTGGTCAGCAGCCATCCTTCCAGCAGTTGCCATCTTGCCCTCCAATGCAGCCCCACCCGGGGGTGCACCACCAGTCTTCACCCCCACCACATCCTCACCACCAGCCATGGGCACCACTCCATCCCTCACCCCAGAACACGCCGCAGAAAGTGCCTGTGCATCAGGTAAGCTGAGTTGCATCCTGCCTTTGTGTAAATATGCCATTCAATGAAATTAATCTGTTGAATAGTATAATTGAATAGAATGTTATTTAAACATGAAAATTATTTTCATTATGAATACCTTAATTTTGAGGAGTTCTGGTGTGGTGTTGTAGGGTAAGCACTGGACGGCTAACCTCACAGTCATCACTTTAACTCCACCAGTTGCCCCTTGAAACTATACAGGGCTGCTATGAATTGGAACTGACTTGATGGCACTTAACGATAACCTTAATTTTTTATCTTGTAAGCTGCTTTCAAACTCTTTAAAAAAAATTTGGTTAATCTTTTATTTATTCACTTATTGTTTATGCACTTACTAAGAAATCCTAGAATTAGGATCTGTATCAGGAATTGCAGTGTGTAATAAGGATGCATAGCTAAGACTTGGTCCCTGCTCACAAGGATTTTTGTCCTGCTGGCAGAGAAAAAATTTAAGACTCAAAACTCAGCAGGCAAATATTTTTTCCCCCCTCTTTTTGTTTGTTCTGTTTCCCCCTTTCATGTGTTTTTGTTTGTTTGTTTTGGAAGCTGCATAATGTTTTTTTTTTTAAGCACTGGACTGCAAACCACAAGGTGTAGGCATTTCAAGCCCACCAGCATATTATGGGAGAAAGGTGAGGTTTTCTGCTCCCCACAAAGATGCATACCCTTGGAAATCCTATAAAGGGTCACAATGAGTCAAAAGGAATCCTGGTAGCTTAGTGGATTAAGAGCTGGGCTGCTAACCACAAGGTCAATAGTTCAAATTTACCAGTTGCTCCTTGGGAAAAAGACAAGGCTTTCTGGTTCCACATAGATTTAAAGTCTCAAAAACTATACAGTATTGCTTTGCGTCATCAGAATTGGCTCAATGGCACACAACCACCACCATCACCACTCTGAGTCAGAACCGACTAAAGGCACTTACAAGTTCAACCCATAACAGGTATTCACATAGACAGCTTTGTCTTACCAATCTTTGCTTTTATGCTCTTTGTTGTTGTTAAGTGCCCTGGAGTTGTTCTGACTCATAGACTTTAAATTTTTTTGGGAGCAGAAAACCTTATGTTTCTCCCATGGA